CAACAGAACTCCCTGTGCTTTGTCTTCTATGTTAATGGAGGAGCAGGAGCCAAACCACTGATCTGAGGACAGGGAGAGGAATCTGCCACCAGACAGAATTATTTTCAAGAACAAATTACCCAGAAAGAGGATTTGCTTAGTGGAAGTTGAGAAATTTGTAGAGTAAGTCACAACTCTTCCTCCCCAAAATGGCTGTATCTAACAGGGAAAGAGCAGAACTCATTAAAAAATGTTATTTTGAGGAAACCAAAAAGGAGCATGAATCCCCATGAAATCCATGCAAGATCAACAAGGTTTTTGAGAATTTTATGTAAGCAGAAACACTGCCATAAAGACAGAAAGAATATGAAATGAGGTAGTTAGATCCCCAAAATTGTACTGGTAAGAACCAGACTCATAAAAAAAAAGGATGGATGACAGAGAGAGACAGAGAGAGAGAGAGAGAGAGAGAGAGAGAGAGAGAGAGAGAGAGAAAAGAAGGATGACAGAGGTGTAGCCACTAGCCCAGAGGGCAAAACTAAGAGTTTAGGAGGGTGGAACCAAGGGCCCAGAGGGCAGAGTTAAAATTCCTGGGGGACTATTTCCAGGCCTTGAAAACTAATCCAGGAACTGGAGTTTGTCCAGCAGGATTTCAAAACTGCCTTGGGCTGGTGACTCCTTTTTATCTTCAAATTCCCCCCTTTCTGAACCAGAATGTCTGTAACTGTTATCATATGCCAATCCCATCTAGTGTGTTGGGAGGGCTGGGACAGGTAACTTGTCTCTAATTTCACAAGTCCACAGATGGAGAGGAATTATGTTCAGGAGTGCTACTCAATGGATTACACTCCAGAGCCTCATCTGTCCCTGATTTAGATACTCTTTTTTTTTTAAATTCTTTTCCCCCTTCAATTTTGAATGATAGCCTTGCTGGATAGAGTATTCTTAGACTCAGTCCCCTGCCCTGCATCACGCTCTATACTTTCTTCCATTCCTTTCTAGCCTGATGTGTTTCTGTTGATAAATCATTTGATAATCTAATGGGAGATCCCTTGTAGGCAACTCTCTCTTTCTTGCAGCCTTTAAGATTCTCTCTTTGTCATTAACATTTGCCATTGTAATGATGATGTGTCTTGGTGTAGGTCTTTTTGGATTCATCTTGTTTGGGACTCTCTGTGCTTGTGTGACTTTCTTCTTCTTCAAATCAGGGAAGTTTTCTGACATTTCTTCAAGTAGGTTTTCTAACCCTTGTTCTTCTTGTCGTTTTGGCACCCCTATCATATGTATGTTGCTTTGTTTCATGTTGTCCCAAAGTTCCCTTAGGCTCTCCTCCTGCCTTTTAATTTTTTTCTCCAATTGCAGTTCAGATTGGATGTATTTTGCTGCCCTGTCTTCTAATTCACTAATTCGGTCCTCTGCTTCTTCTAATATACTGTTGAAACCTTCCATAGTGTTTTTTATTGTATCTACTAGGTGTATCAGTTAATAATGTGGATTTTTTCAATAGATGAAGTTACACATATGTTGATATATATGCGATTTGATATGTATGCTATGTTGTTGTATTGACAAGCTTCAAAACTTCCTATGTCAACTTTTCTGAAGGTGTTAACATCATAGATATTTTTACACTTAAAAATGTCCAATTTTGCCGAGACCGGTTTGGCTCAGCGGATAGAGCGTCGGCCTGCGGACTCAAGGGTCCCAGGTTCGATTCCGGTCAAGGGCATGTACCTGGGTTGCGGGCACATCCCCAGTGGGAGATGTGCAGGAGGCAGCTGGTCGATGTTTCTCTCTCATCGATGTTTCTAACTCTCTATCTCTCTCCCTTCCTCTCTGTGAAAAATCAATAAAATATATTAAAAAAAATGTCCAATTTTGTGCCAAAAAAGAGCATTTGTGGGAAGTTTTAATTCATTACTTTATTTTGAAGAAAAGTGCTGCTGAATACTTTGGGAAGCTTATGGTGAACATGCTCCATCTCAAGATACTTGTGAACGTTAGTTTAAATGCTTTAAAAGTGATGATTTCAATGTGAAAGACAAAGAACATCCAGGTCAACCGAAAAAGTGTGAAGACCAACAATTACAAGCATTATTGGATGAAGATGCGTGTCAAACTCAAAAACAACTTGCAGAAAGATTAAACGTTGCTCAGCAAGCAATTTCCGATCATTTACAAGCAATGGGAAAGATTTTAAAGAAAGGAAAATGGGTGCCACATAAACTGAATGAAAGACAAATGGAAAACTGAAAAATCATCAGTAAAATGTTGCTTCAATGGCATGAAAGAAAGTCTTTTAAAAAAATATTTTTATTAATTTCAGAGAGGAAGGGAGAGGGAGAGATAGAAACATCAATGATGATTTAAAAAAATAAAATAAACATCAATGATGAGAGAGAATCATTGGTTGGCTGCCTCCTGCATGGCCCCTACTGGGGACCGAGCCTGCAATTCGGGCACGTGCCCTTGATCAGAATCAAATCTGGGACCCTTCAGTCCGCAGGCTGATGCTCTATCCACTGAGCCAAACTGGCTAGGGTGAAAGAAAGTCTTTTTTGCATCGAATTGTGACTGGTGATGAAAAGTGGATTTTGAGAATCACAAACGCACAAAATCATGGGTTGATCCAGGTCAACCATCAATATCGACTGCAAGGCCAAATCGCTTCGGAAAGAAGACAATGCTCTGCGTTTGGTGGGATCAGGAAGGTATGGTGTATTATGAGCTTCTAAAACCAGATGAAACCGTTAATACTGATTGCTACCGATAACAAATAATCAATTTGAACCACGCTTTGATCGTGAAACAACCAGAATGTGCCAGAAGACACGGCAAAGTAATTTTGCTTCATGATGACACACCATCACACACTTCAAAACCAGTTAAAGACATGTTAAAAGATCTTGCTTGGGAAGTATTAACCTACCCGCTGTATTCACCAGACCTTGCTCCTTCAGAATACCACTTGTTCCAATCAATGGCACATGCACTATCTGAGCAGCACTTCAAAACACACAAAGAAGTGGAAAATTGGGTCTCTGAATGGTCTGTCTCAAAACAAGAAAAGTTCTATTGGGATGGTATCTACGAATTACCTGAAAGATGGGGGAAATATGTAGCTAGCGATGGACAATACTTTGATGTTATTGTGTTTTCTTTGATTACAAAATCTGCATTATTAACCAGTACACATGGTATATCACTCTTTATTTCCTCATGATTCTTACATAAGTTGTTGATTTTTCTCATCCATCCAGTTTATGAACTGTATGATCCTTATTCTGAATTCTTTTTCTGACAAATTGTGTGCCTCTGTTTCATTTAGTTCCTTTTCTGTTGATTCCTCCTTTCCTTTCCTTTGGGGGTTGTTTCTTTTTATTTTATTTTTAAAATATATTTTATTGATTTTTTACAGAGAGGAAGGGAGAGGGATTGAGAGTTAGAAACATCGATGAGAGAGAAACATCGATCAGCTGCCTCCTGCACACCCCCTACTGGGGGATGTGCCCGCAACCAAGGTACATGCCCTTGACCGAATCGAACCTGGGACCCTTGAGTCCGCAGACTGACGCTCTATCCACTGAGCCAAACCGGTTAGGGTGCGGGGGGGGGGGTTGTTTCTTTGTCTCCCATATTTGCTCTCACTGAAGGATCTAGGCATTGAGTTGCACTGGGCCTGTGACTGCAGTGGCAGGCTTGGCAGTGGGTTGCATGGTCACCAGGCCCGGGGTTGATGCATTGGGCTTGGCAGCAATTCATGCATGGTCGTGGTGTCTGGGGTTGCTGTGTGAGGCACCCGGTATAGGGCTTGGTTGCTCACCCTTGGTTGCGGCACATGGGGTTGATGCATTGGGCTTGGCGGCAGCTAACGCAGTCGTGGCATCTGGGGTTGCTGCGTAAGGCTTGGCTGTTTGTACGCACGGTTGCCTGATTTAGATAATCTTGATGAAGAGATTTTAGATTTTTGAGTTGGTGAGATTTAGGACTTTGAACTGTACCAAAATGGGACGAGGCCTTAGGCAGGAGTGAATGTATTTTTCATGTGGAAGAGGCATGAACTGTAGAGCCAGAGGGAAGACTGTGATAAGGAAGAAATTTAAGGGTAAAAGAATGATGATCTGAGTGGGCCTCCTCTAATCACAAGAGCCCTTTATAAGCAGAGTTTTCTCTGACTGGTAACAGAAGAGGAATTCAGAGAGATGGAAGTTTGAGAGAAATTCAACAATGCAAGGGAGGTTCTCTGTTGCTGAGATGAAGAAATCACAAGGCAAGGAGCATGGGGAGGAGGAACTAAGAGTGGTCCTGGCTTACCACTTCATTTTACTTCATTATCTTCTACCTGTGCCCAAAAGGAATATAGATTTTAAAATACTACTTCAAAGGAAAAAACTCTGCTAGGTGTCCCTCACCCCCCATCACACCCATGGGTTGGAATATTTCCAGGAGACTGAGTGGGCAGTCCCTCCACTAATCCAGCCAACAATAAAATGGGACCTCAATTCTACAACCCAAAGAAACTGGATTCTGCCAGTAATCTGGATGAGCTTGGATGCAGGTTCTTCCCCAGCACCTCCAGATAAGAGCCTAGTCTGGCTGATGCTTTGACTTTGGCCTTATGAGACCCCAAACATGAATCTAGCCAAGTTCACCTGGACTCCTGACCTATGTAACTGTGAGATAATAAATGTGTGCTGTTTTAAGCTATTAAATTTGTGGTAATTTGTTACACATAGAAAACTCATCCAGAGTTTGTTTAGGTCTACAGATTCTATTTCTGAACATGTTCCTACTCTAGCCCATTCTGAGAGCAACCCTTAGCTAGCAACAAGAGGACCAGGTACAGTTCTGGGTCCAGCCCTTCCTAGCACAAGTTTCTTCATATGAAAAATGGATGGGTCAAAGGAGAAAAGCTGTAAGAAAACACTTCTACACCATTAAGTCTTTTCAAATATCAGATGTATTACGGATCACAACATCCATGCCAATACCTGCAAAAGAGGGACCAAGACATAGCTCACCTTCCTCAGGCCAAGACTGTGCATTGCTGGAATAAAGATATGCTCCTTCTCCTCCTGTTAGAAAAGTTCCCAGAAAACACTCATCTCCCTTTAAAAACAAACAAACAAACAAACAAACAAACAAACAAACACAAAGAACAGGTGAGTCATAGCATAAAGATTCATAGAATCAAAACTCTTACCCAAGTTTGTCTACAAAAGTTGCTGAGTCAGTTTCAGATATACCCAACTTATTCCACCATCTTTGACTTTGCCCAGATCTTTGTCATGTTACTGGAATCCTTTTACTTGTGCTGATAAAAAGAATGTAAGGTCCTCTCTGAGTCTAGGCACCAAAGTTTGCAATGCCTGTTTATATTCAAATAGATTTATATCTATCAAAGTCAGCTCTTCCTGGCCGAAAGGTTTGACCTTTCAGCTCTATATGTCAATCTGAGATCTGCTTTTAATAGTACTGGAAGATTAAAAACGAAAACAAAAACACACACACAAAAAAACACTGTAAAGTCTAAATGACAGAAAGAATCCTTCTAATTGTGTACCCCCATAAAATGGTTATTTCTAGAACTCTGCTGGGAAGAATGCAAACAGGAATTGAGACAAAGAGGTACAGATCCTTTAGATTAGCCTTAAAATGAGACATTTTAAATTATCTTCATTTATTTGTTTACATTTTATTTTGATATGGTGTTAATATTAAGAATAAGACTACTTACTTTCACTGCTTGCTGGGTTTTCTCAGACAATTTTACTTCATTATCTTCTACCTGTGCCCAAAAGGAATATAGATTTTAAAATACTACTTCAAAGGAAAAAACTCTGCTAGGTGTCCCTCACCCCCCATCACACCCATGGGTTGGAATATTTCCAGGAGACTGAGTGGGCAGTCCTTCCACTAATCCAGTCTCTCCACTTTACTAATGTGAAAACTATAGGTATGGATAGATGAGCTTGCAGACAACCAGAAAGTGGCAAATCCCACACCAGAACTAAGCTTATCGGGCAGGTCCTGACCACTGGCAGAGTTGGCTGCTGGTCATCAAAGCTCAGAGCCCAAGGTTATGATGGGTTCTCTCACTGGGACCTGAGGTTCAGCTAAATGAGCCTATGATATGTGGAGAGGATATGTTAGTCTCCACTTACACTTCACTTCAGAGAAAAACAACTATTATTGGGGATGAAGGAAAGAGAACATATTAAAATATTTTGAGTGTTTGCATTTAAACATGTTCATGTTGAGATTAACTCTTGCTCTTCTCCATCCATGTCAGAATTATAGTAACAGGATATAAAGAGCTTCTAAAATGGGTACTCATTTAGGTCATTACCAGACTCACTGCTTTCTGTATTCCAAGGCACTAATATTTTAGAGCAAGTCCCACTGATGAAAATGGGACCTTTTCACACATAAGAGAGAAACTGCTGTACAAATTCAGTGGCAAACATTCTAACCACAGAAGGGAGCCACATAAACCACTCTTCACTATTTGTGTGACCCCGGACAGGTTGGTCAATTTCTAAGCCTCAGTCTCCTTATCTGTAAAATGGGGGTATTAATTTCTTCTTTCTCCAAATTTAATAGGGACCCACATAACTTAGTTCCTTCCTTTTAGAACTTTTCCAAGATTATGAGAATTAAAGAAACTAGATTTGTTTGTATAAAGAGAAAGCTGAGATAAAAAGCTTCCATTCCTGAAAGCAGCTAGTTCAGGATCTGACAAGACCCAAGGAAAAGGCTCTTCCTCAAATGCTCTCCCAGATTTCTCCCCATTTAGGTCCATTTCACCTGATGAATGATACTAACCAGCCAGGAGCGGAATCTGGGTATGGCGGCTGTCAGGACTATGGAGCTGGTTTCTGTGTTAACAGTGCCATCTGTAGGAAGACCACAGACATGCAGGTTACTGCCTACCACCTGAGCCCACCTTGCAGTCCCCAGACAGCTACACCTTTCCCCTTCTCAGCATGAGTTTGATGCCATCAGGAAATGAAAATTTCCTCATCAGGGGGCGGGGGGACTAATGAAAAGTTCCCCCATGTGATTAACTCTGTTAGTTTTTACAACAAATAGAGAGACACATTTAAATGAAGAATTCTGGGAATTAGTCCTTTTTATCTATACTTTTAATTTTTATCAAGGTAGTACAGGTGTGCACATATTAAAAATCAAACAAAACATTATCAGGCTCATCCTACCAGCCCTAGATATTATAATTTTCTAGAATTCTTTGTCAACATAATGGGTAAAAAAAGGAATCTAATTATTGTTTCAAACTGCTTTTTCTTGACTACTAGTAAGACTGTACATATTCATATATATGTATATTCATATATATGTATATGTGAGGATAATATATATGTTATACACACACACACACACACACACACACACACATATACATACACTGAGTGGCCAGATTATTATGACCACCTGACGTTTGTAGGCAAATTAGCTATAATTTCGCGCTTAAGTTGCTAGAGGGCCAGACCATTATAAATCCAGCCCATTATAAATAGGGAAGACAGTAGAAGTGATTGTTTTTTAGAAGTGATTGTTTTTTCTGAAGATATGGGTAAATAATGTGATTTAACAGCCTTTGAACGTGGGATATATTTGAACGTGAGTGGCCAGATTATTATGACCACCCCATCAGTACTTTGTTGGGCCACCTTTTGCCTTCAATACTGCGGCGATTCTTTTTGGCATTGACTCCACGAGATGTTGAAAGGTGATGCGAGGAATCTGACACCATGCCTGATGAATAGCACTGTCCAGTTCTGTGAGATTTGATGGTTGTGGAATAAGCTGCCTGATGGCTCTTTTAACTTCATCCCACAAATGCTCAATTGGATTGAGATCTGGTGATGGTGGGGGCCACCTAAGCAAGGTAAAGTCTCCCTCATGTTCTTGAAACCACTCCTGCACAATACGAGCACCGTGGTATGGCGCATTGTCTTGTTGGAAGAAGCCATCTCCATTGGGATATGCCATCAACATGACAGGATGAACTTGATCAGCAATGATACTTAGGTATGTTGTGCTATTCAGACGTTGTTCCACACGAATTAAAGGGCCCAAATCATGTCAGGAAAACATGCCCCAAACCATAACATTGCCCCCACCAGCTTGAAGGGTTGTACTCATGCATGTGGGGTGCATGCTTTCATGCTGTTTCCGCCAAATTTCACTCTGCCATCTGCATGATGCAACTGGAAACGTGATTCATCAGACCACATGACTTTTTTCCAATGCTCGACTGTCCAATCCTTGTGTTCCTGTGCGAATTGGAGACGTTTTGTCTTGGTAACTGCAGACAGCAAAGGTGTTGGAACAGGCCTTCGGCTTCCATATCCCATATGATGCAGTGTATGGTTAATTTGCCTACAAATGTCCAGGTGGTCATAATAATCTGGCCACTCATGTTCAAATATATCCCACGTTCAAAGGCTGTTAAATCGCGTTATTTACCCATATCTTCAGAAAAAAAAATCACTTCTACTGTCGTGGTAAACAACCTGCTTCCCTATTTATAATGGTCTGGCCCTCTAGCAACTTAAGCGCGAAATTATAGCTAATTTGCCTACAAACGTCAGGTGGTCATAATAATCTGGCCACTCAGTGTGTGTGTGTGTGTGTGTGTGTGTGTGTGTGTGTGTGTGTCCTATCTAATAAAAGTAATATGCAAATTAACCATCACTTCGTGACAGAGATGGCAGCTCCATAGCGGCTGGGGTGGGATGCTGGTGGCCTTGAAGGCCAGGCTGAGGGACCTCCACACCCCAGTGCACAAATTTCATGCACCAGGCCTCTAATATATATATATAAAAAAACTGTTTTGTTTTCCATTTCTGTGATCTGCCTGTTCACATTTTTTGTCTATCTACCATTGGATAGCTTGTCTTTTTCCTATTAACTCATAAGAGCGCTTCATAAATTTGTTGATTATTAATATTCTAATATTTCACTAGTTTATTGCTGGTCTTTTGACTTCACTTATGGTTTACTTTGCCTCCCACCAAAAGCTCAAGCTCTGCTTTCCAGTAACCATATACACTTACCCTTTTCTTTAACCAAGATCTGAGATGTCAAAAATGATTCTGAGAAGACCACAGATCCTAAGCTCCCCCTTCCTCCCAGCAAATCAGGAATGTCATAGACAGTCATACAAGCCTGTATCAAATTAGAAAATAGAGTTATACCAGTTGTCAGTCTTAAACCTTCAAGGAGAGACCCATATGAAACAGACTACAAAATACTGCTTTCAGGTACATTTCAAAAGAAAACCGCAGAGTTTCTAAGAAAAACTCAAGTTATCTGGAAATATGTCTCAGAACTGGGAGATGACTTAAAACACAGGCTTCCCTGCAACTGCTGCTGCTTCTTTTAAAGATTTTTAATTGATTTTTAGAGAGGTAGGAAGGGAGAGAGAGAGAGAAACATAGACCAGTTACCTCCTCTATACCCTCTACTGGGAATCGAGCCAGCAACCTTTTGGTGCACAGGACTACGCTTAACCAACTAAGCCACACTGGGCAGGGCCAATTGCTTCTTGATCAGAGACACCCTAGGGTTAGAAGAGTATCTTTATGTTTCTATAAATTCCCTCACATTGCTTATCCTCCTTAAGAGGCAAAATAACAGTCTTTCTTCTTTCTTTTTTAAAAAAAATATTTTTATTGATTTCAGAGAGGAAGGGAGAGGGAGAGAGAGATAGAAACATCAATGATGAGAGAGAATCACTGATCGGCTGCCTCCTGCATATCTCCTACTGGGGATCGAGCCCGCAATCCAGGCATATGCTCTTGACAGAAATCAAACCCGGGACCTGTCAGTCTGTAGGCCAACACTCTATCCACTGAGTCAAGCAGGCTAAGGCACAGCCTTCCTTCCTCTTCTTCTTCTTCTTTTTTACAGCCTTCCTTCTTAACTGTGACTAGTCCCCAGCCATTTAGAGTTGGAAGTGTTTCTGGTAGGCTTCTATACACTTACAAACTCATAAAATCCCAGCACGTCTACACTTTTATCAATTCCTTCTTTGGTGTAAGTTCAAATTCTGAACAGGTCTGGAAGGTCATTCATTTGGTATTTATACATGTCTTCATGGATATTTTGGGGTACATGTCAACACCTGCAAATGCGAACTTCAGAACCCAGAAAACAAAAAGACAGCCATTCAAGCTTTTACAGGAAGACAAATAAAAACAAGAGGCTTCAGTAGGCTGGAAAAAAAAAACACTGGAGCAACTCAGAGAAGCTCCTGAATGGCTGGTAACAAAGCCCCGATTACCACTTAAAACTAGTGAAAACGGCACAATTCTGGGGGGAATCTAGCAGAAATGCAGAAAATGGTATGAGCCAGGGTCTGGGTGAAGGACATGAAATGGTCCCCTCATGGCCAACGTGGTTGAATGGCCAGGGGCAGAGCTCCTGAAGCCAGAGTCTGTTTCACACATTGTTGTGCTGGCCTGGGACCTGTTCCACCCTCAGGACAGAGACAAAAGACCGAGGGGTCTTGAAGGAATTGCTAGATTTTAAAATAAAAAAAGATGGCTGAAGAGTTGAAAAGAAGAAAACCATAATTAAAGCCAGAGTCCTCATTTTTTATGTTGTCATGATAGAAGGATGTACATAAGGCACAGGTAGGCTTTTATATTTTACTTAACTTTCTCATTAGGCTCGACAGTGAGAAGGTTTATCTAAATCTGTTTCAAAGAACTTTGAACATCTGAAGACACAGAAGCTTCCTGGGCTACATGGTCCCTCTTAAGTGACAATGTAACCTCACTTCTTTGGGTTTCAGATCTATCAGGATGACAAATTCTGTGGATTCCCCATCCCTCTCTTTCATATTTGGTTTCTGGTAGTGAGGAAGGGGAGAAAGAACATTAAAAAGAATACATGTAACAAAATTTAAAAAATAAATTACTAGAAAGAATACATGTATTTGTTAGACACTATGTACTTTGAAGCATGTGGCGTGTGGAAAGAAAAAGATGTAAAACACAGTCCCTATCTTCAGGAAACTTTATAATGTATAGTTGGAGAGACAAGAGCATTCTTATACAAAAGACATCATATGTTAATACAGAATTACTCCCTGATATATGTAGCACAAACTCTAAGTAATACAGAAATACAGCACTTATAGGAAGAATCAATAGGAAAGCTTGGAGAGGAGGCAGAACTTCCTCCCAGCCTGGAAGGGAGGACAGGATTTGGACGGAAAGCACCAACTTCCCATCTCTTCTTTCCTATTTCATTAGCTGCTGTGGAAAGCACACTGAACATAACAGTATGATTCTACTGGACTTCTAACCACCTGTTCCTGTGCAAAGCATCTTCCAGAGCCTTGCACCAGTCTAAAAGAGAAGTCAAGGAGTTTAAAGTCTAGCAAGGAGATAAAGTACTATCACCCAAATATCAGAAAGCATTTTCCAGCATCCTGATGATGTCATGAAAAAGTCTCAATTAGTTCTAAAAGAACATTGACACAAAATGTTGACATGTACAAAGGAGCAGCTACACTTTAAAAACAGAAATTACTGGCAACTTTAAAAAATTACCCTTGTTGTACTACTCTCTGTAGATGAGATAACACTACTGTGTTTCTCCTGGTGATAGTGGTGGGCGTGCATTTACATAAACTCATCCACAGCTGCCCACCTAGTTCCAGGTGACCAAAAAGCTCATTGGAATTAAGGTTCAAGCAGTAGCTGTAGAACAGACTCAAGGTATAACTTGTACCCATATGTATTACAACCAGAATCTTGGCTGCATGTCCACCATCCTCTCATGAATTGCTTGCCAATCTTCTCATCAGGATGCACTGGGGTAAATGGAGGACTTAGCCTGTAACTGGGAGCAACTAGTCTAGAAACTTTGGCTCCCCTAGGCCACAGCAGCCCAGCCAAGGACCAATATTTTTGTATCATTAAACCATTCCCCTGGCCTATCAGTGTGCCCCCAGCACATGGGTAGGAAAGCTCTGCTCTGACCCTCTCACTTCTCTAGAGAGTCAGGACCCTGGTTTCTTTGTTTGTTCTTGTTTCATTTCACAGGCCCCTGTTAAGGGTATTAACACAGGCCTTGGAACAGTTTGAAGCCAATGAAAACTCCTCGGTCTATGTTGAGGCAGGTTTGTTCTCAGCTCACATTTCCACCTGAGGGCAGAACAATCTCAGCCAATTGGAGGAAGCCTTCCGGACCTTAGGAAGTCTTAGCCCCTAGCTCAAACTCTGGACCCGAGGGAACCTAGGTATGGGAGGGTGGACGTGGTGGGCCAGGCACAGCTGCCTGGGCACCCTCAGAAAGCACAGACTCACCACTGCGGCAGCTGGAACAGTTCTGAGAGTAGAACAGTTTCCTCAGGGAAGGGATGGGCTGCCTAAGACTCCCACCCACTTCTACCTCACCCCTTGTAGATGTCCCTCTCTAGACCATTCCCGGCCAGCTGACCTGTTAGAGCTCTTACCGTCTTCACAAAGTATAAGCTATCTTCACTGTCCAGAGGCACGATTCTAGAAAAGGAAAGAAATGGGAGAGACACTGAACATTTACAATGCTCTCTTTTTTTCAACTTAGCAGCAACCTACAGACCCAGATTTTTCTCAGGGATTTTCAAAAACACTGGGTTACATATATGCACAATTAGAATGTAGGCCACTTGGAGAGAAATGGGTCCATCCCAGCCTCCATCCCTCAGTGTTTCAGTAGGAAGCACTCAGGGCACAGGGTCTCAGCTGACCACAGCCAGCCCCGGGCCTAACCCTGGAGTGATGCCACTGCCAGGTGTGGAACTGTGAGAAGAAAACCCACAACAGCAGTCACAAGTTAGCCTTTATTCTCTTTTTGCTTCTAAAACTTGCCCAAATAGGGATGCACCACAAACATATACTTACCTTCCCTGATTATTCACAGCATGTATATGAAAAGCCATCTTGGAGCTGTAGACCCAAAACAAAACAAAACAAGTCAGTAGGCTCTTGCTGACCCCTGGGCTGGAGCCCACCCCAGACACCAGCTGCTGCAGTGCACCTGTGCAGGGCCCTCCCAGCACAATGGCCAAGTGTGGGGCCAGCATCTAACTCCTGTCATGGCCCTGCCTCTGTGAAGATTCTCAGGGCTGTCTTGGATGGAGCAGGAGAGAACCATGTGACAGGACTGTTGTCCACTGCAGTCTGTGAGTGACCTTCTACTGACCTGAGGGCTCCTGCCATGCTGTCCTGAACCTCCTCCTCTTTCACCACTTTTGGGTCAAGATGCCATCCCTGCTTGGTGTCTAAGCAAAGGCCAGGTCCCATGTTCCTCTCAGGAGATGATTTGCATTTCACTGAGGACCCTTGAACCTGATGCAGTTCGAGGATCCTCGGTGAAATGACCTTGTGGAGGGAAGGGAGTGGGGCTCTAAGGGACTGGCCCTGGAAGACTCTCCTCCCATTGCCTGGTGTTCTCTCCTTGTTCCTTCTCCAGATAGAGTGGTACACTCAGGCCTAGAGATTGAGAGGTGGCCTGGCCTGGAAAGGCTGAGTGACTTAGGCAAGGCCCTGAGGAAAGGAGGAATGGAATGACTATGTTAGCCACGTTGATGATACAGAGAAGGCTCCACTGCAACAGCAGCTAAAATGTACACACCCAATCACACTGAAGATGAGGAAACAGATGCACAGAGCTCCTTATATTGTCCAAGCCCACACAGCTGGAAAGCAAATGAGCTTCCTCAAACGTAGGCTACCAGGAAAAGGTAGTCCAGGCCAGTGCAAGGCCTTAAGGGAACAAACTTCCTGTCTCCCTTCCCTCTCATGGCCAGAGTTATAAGACTCAGAGGACCAGAGAAAAGGAGACCTGAATAAGCCTAAAACCTTGCACCAAAGGACCTGGTTCTTTCTTCCACTCCTGGAAGTGCAGAAATAGAATTTTTCTTGTCAGATCAATTGACTGACTTATCTTTCTTTCTTTCTTTTTTTAAAAAATATATTTTATTGATTTTTTACAGAGAGGAAGGGAGAGGGATAGGGAGTTAGAAACATCGATGAGAGAGAAACATCGATCAGCTGCCTCCTGCACACCCCCTACTGGGGATGTGCCCGCAACCAAGGTACATGCCCTTGACCGGAATCGAACCTGGGACCTTTCAGTCCGTAGGCCGACACTCTATCCACTGAGCCAAGCCGGTTACGGCGACTTATCTTTCTTAGTGTTCCTTCTCACTACCCAGGACTCTAGATGTAAGAAAATGCAAGGCATGCCCTGGCTGGGAGGCTCAGTTGGTTGAAGCGTTGTCCTGTACACCAAAAGGTTGTGGGTTCAATTCCCAGTCAGGGCACGTACGGGAGGCAACTGATCGATGCTTCTCTCTCACATCAATGTTTCTCTCTCCCTCTTCCTCTCTTTAAAAAAAATCAAATAAAAACATATCCTCAGGTAAGGATTAAAAAAAAATTTTTTTAAAGAAAATGTGAGACATGTATGGAGCTGAGGCACCACAGGGCACATATCAAAAGTGTTCTTAAAGAAACTCCCCAATATCAGTGTCTTTTGATTCCTTTGTTAGAAGTGTACTTAGATGGCCGTGGCCAGTATTGCTCAGTGGCTGGGTATTTTCCCATATACCAAAAGATTGCTGGTTCGATTCCCAGTCAGGGTACATGCCTGGGATGTGGGCTCGATCCCTGGTAGGGGGCATGCAGAAGGCAGCTGACTGATGTATCTCCCTCTCCTTTCCTCTCTCAAAATCAATAAAAAAGGTTTTTTTTAAAAAAGTGTTCCTCATATGGGACAGTGGGTTAAGCTGACTGAGCTATACATAGATCCAATGTGATGTGCCAGGAGATGTGTGATGGAAGACTGCCAAGGAAGCCAAATTCCCAGAGTGTCTAGATCCCGGGACATAGCCAGGCTCAGGGTTTCTACATCTGAGAGGTAGATAAAGCAGTGAGTGTCTTCACATGCCCAGGACCCTGACCCTAACATACCTCACCACTCCTGTTCCCAGCTTTACCTTTCTAACCTCTGAACTAGGTTTGTCATGTCTCCAATGGTTCCAGTACTGATCTGCCTCCTATTCCAGTGTCAGGACATGCTTTCTCATGTAGTTCCTCCTTCTTTGGCTTCTTGGCCTCTCAAAGCTCTGATCACTCCTTCGGGTCTTTATAACACAGACATTTAAAAAAATTCCTTATAGAAAGTATCAGCCTTGCTTACCGTAGGGCTGCCTTAAACTGCATCAACTCAAAGGAATCTAACTTAGATCCCATGGTCTGCTCAGCTACTTCCTTGGCCTATAAAATCAATAAAAACCAGAAACAATTAGCTCTCACAGCAGGAAAACATAGACATCACTGAAAGAAAGAGCCCTTCTAACATTTGGCCAGGACAAGGCTGTGCCCCTCCCATCTACGTGACTATTTTATAAACATCAATAGATTAAAGTAAAACACCATGTTAGGGGGAACTGGTGTCAGCTTTCTTCAGGCTGGGTTCACAGGAAACACTCCATTCAGGCAGGTGGGCACTGGAACCTGAACTCCTGGGGAGCTGTAATCAGCTGAGATGGTGCCATTGTGAGGTCTGGAAATGTGCTTTTTCTCCCCTCTCCCCTGGCCCTAGGGGAGGGATTCCTGCCCTCAGAGATTCTGTGCCCAACGCTAAGAAGATTCAAATACCTAGAGTTACAAAAGATTAGTTAAAAAACAAAGGTGTGAGAACTGAGGTCTGCACCAAACCCAAGTCAGTACGAGGGATTCAAGTTGACTGAGGAGGGAGATGGCAAGGAGCTGGTGACTATGCTACAGTCTCTCTGCTATCTACATCATACACAACCTTTCCAAGGTCAAATGGCTTCTTTCAGGAAAGGTCCTATTGGCATTGGGAGGCATCAAGCCGACTCTTCTCATCTCCTGACTGGGTCAGATATAGGAATCCAACTCAGCAGGGCAGGTTAACCGCAAAACAGCAAGGAAGATAACGGTCAGAGCACGAGAGCACGTGTGCTTGTCTAGGAAAGGCAAGTCAGATTTTCTAATCTTTAGTTACACTGAATTATAGGAAATTAAACTATGTAGCTCAAAATAAACTTACCTAATTTTATTAAAATTCACAGTAGAATAAGATTATATATATACTTTTAAAAAAACTTTAAAAAACTATTAAACTATTAAGTAAAGTAATATGCTATAGAATGGTTTTTCTTTAACACAACCAGATATCTACAAAGAAGTGATTAGTTGTCATTCATGACAAGGGCAGCTTGGTCAAGGCAGTGCAGGCAGCACAAGCTCAGCACTTTCAACGCGTCTCTGTCTGGTGCCAGCTCCACAGAGGCCCAAGCTCACACAAAACCGAGTACTACAAAGTGTCCAAAACCAAACTGAACGACGCCCACCCAGATGGATAGGAAGTCTCACATTAAAATAACTTCTAAGGAAAGAGAAATATGGTATTTAAATTACCTTTGTTAGACTGGAAGTTTTAGCATAACATGCAATGCCAGCCAAAACAGCCTCAATAACAGCAGCATATACCTGTGACAAGAGCCTACTTTTAAAACAAAAAAACATGGGTTAACTAACAGCATTACAAGGTTTCATCAAAAGCTGCATGCACAAAAATGACATTCCCTAAGGGACTGATTTTTAAACAGAATGAGAAGTGAAAAATTGGAACCCACTGGTTTCTAAACCTTTTAAAAGCCATGTGCCCCATCTGATTTATACTTTTCTCTGTTAAATTATAAGAAAAGCCAGCTGTCATTAATTTTGCTCAAAACACCAACTTTTCCTGTTTGTAACTAACAGAAGAAAAGTATGTGGGCTCCATGACCCCTCCACTTGCAGGAGCAGCTGCCCAAGGACCCTGAATCCCTTCAGTGTAATGATCCAGACTTGCTGCTTTTCCAGGGACCAACTGCACCACACTGCATGTCCTCTCCCCAGGATTGCTAAAGGCTGGCTGCTACTGGAACCTCAGGGTGGGAGACCTCAGGGGGCAAGAGAGGTTGTTCTGGGGAGAAGATGAGCTCCACTTCAATTCAAATGAACAGTTACAGACCACTTTCTAGGCAGCTTACCTGATCTAGAAACTACAGAATGCTTCTGAGGGGGAGCAGTCCCTACCTAAAGCACCCCTTCACCAATCTTGCTCTTTCTTTGATTTCTCACTTCCCAAAGTCTTTGCCAGACTTGGACTGCTACCAATGTCCCCAGAAAATGTAAGTCTGGCTGTCTTTAGGCAGGGTTTCTCAATCTCAGCATTTTGGGACAGATAATTCTCCAGACACTGCCAAACGTCCTGGTGGGGCGGGGGGCTGGTGGGAGTGATACAGTTAAATTGTCCCTGGTTGAGAGCCACTGCTTCAGAGGAAGGAGACCCAGAATCTCATTAGGATAATTACAGAGAAAAGAGGCTCATCCTCAAGGCCCTGAAAGGCAAGGGAGGTGGCTAGCAAAGAAGTTACAAGGCCTTCCCTAAGAATATGTCTATTTTTAAGCCTTTGAAACAGGTAAAGGAAGGCGACAGGAGTTTGAAAGGAGGAATGAACACAGAAATGATCTGGTCTAATGCTCTCATCTTACAGAAGAAGCAAGTAGGCCTTTGGAGGTGGAATAAGTTGTCCTAGGACACAGAAAGTTAATGACAGATGCAGATGCTCTCAGCCTGGTGCTTTCCCACATGCCATCTCACACTGCCAATTTCCTCCATGGCTCCTTCACCACGCCTCCACATTGTAGGTAAGAGATTTGAGTTGGGTAGAAGGAAAAGGGACAGAAAAAGTACACATAACAAAGTGACGGCTCCAAGAGTCATATCCTGACGACTGTGGTGAGGTGACGTCAGAGGGGTATGTCCTGGTAGGAAGGGGTCCAGTAGGGATACTGCCATGAACTTGGCCACTTCTAGGGAAAACCAGAATCCTCCACACTTCAACACTAAGGATGAAGCTTTATAGAGGCCAACACCAAAGATATAGAAAGATGACCTTCCTCCCTCTCCAACCCAGCTTGATTCAATCATCATTCAGTACTAACATTGATCAGGCCTCCCCCTGTTTGGCCCTCAGACAAAAGCTCAATACAAAGCCACTGAACTACTAACATGGCCTGGATGGGAGGTCTGGGACCCATGACAAGGGAAGGGCCTGCTCTGTGCCTGGATCATGCTGCTGTTGCCATTATTGGGACGCCACAAGGCCCAAGTTCCACCAGTCCCCTGATGTGCGCCCAAGCACCCCTCGATACCTGTCCATGAAGCTGGGTATCAATGGATATGGATTAGGCGAAATGTCTAAGAGTCCAGAATGAGGACCCAGTGCAATAGCTAAGTACAGCTGGCACAGAAGCACAAGCAGATACAAAGCAAGACTATACATACCCACCAACCTATCAGAATGTGGTTGACTTATTGATAAAGAAAAACCCCACACACAAAAAAATGCACAAACACCATAATTACCACTATACAAAACCTAAATGTATAATTTTTTAAAAATCCAGAAAAAGATACATTAAGATACTATTGTGTAGTGACAAAAAGGAAAAATTATGGAGGATCTTATTTTCTTTTTTCCAAATTTTCTGTAGTGTGATTATATTACCTTCTAAAAAGAAGAGACACCAGATCTTTTTCTCTCTCTTCACATGATCAGAGGAAAGGCCACGTGATAAAGCAACTCAAGAAGAGAGGCCTCACCAGAAACCAACCCAGTTGGCTCCTGAATCTTGGACTTCCAGCCTCCAGAATTGTGAGAAAACAAGTTCTGTGTGTTCAAGCCACCCAATCTGTGATGTTTTGTTATGGCAGCCCAAGTAGACTAATACAAGAATTATGAGTTAATTTCCCGTTTTTGATTTCCTACTATATGTGTGTGTGGCGGGGGGGGGGGAAGTCAACACTAGGACCTTTCTAAGGCTGCATAGCCTGAGTTCAGACTTGAATTCTGTTTCGTAAATCTAAGTGTCAAACCCAGAGTAAACACTTCTCAGACCAGAGGGGGTTTCATATAGATTCTCCCAATGGGTTTCAGGATGTTTTATTTTTAGGAAAGCCCCAATAAAAAAATGCACCATGCAGAAAACATATTAAGAAGAGTTATGCCGGCCCTGACCAGTTTGGCTCAGCGGATAGAGCGTCGGCCTGTGGACTCAAGGGTCCCGGGTTCGATTCCGGTCAAGGGCATGTACCTTGGTTGCAGGCACATCCCCAGTGGGGAGTGTGCAGGAGGCAGCTGATCGATGTTCCTCTCTCATCGATGCTTCTAACTCTCTATCCCTCTCCCTTCCTCTCTGTAAAAAAAAAAAAAGAAGAGTTATGCCATTTAAATGCATAGATGTGCAGGTAGAAAGCCTCTGAGTTTTGGAGAGCAGCAGCAGATGGCAAAGTTGGCAGGGTCTCCAGCCTACACTCCCAGCTGATAGGGGCTGGGTACCTCCGGGGAAATTATACAGCTCTGCTCACCTCATAAAGCAGATGTCCTACCCACTGCTGATCTCAAAAGGAGGTAGACAGGACAGTCCAACTTCTGAGTAACTCAACTTTGAAAAATAAAAAATAAAATAGAAATGAAGACTTACATTTGTTCAGTTTTCTTGGGCAGCTTGTTGTCATCACCTGTGAAAGAGGATCTAATAAGAATGGGATAAGATCACAGGAGATGAAAACATTTCACAAGGAAGCTAGAATTTCTTAATTTAATTCAAAAGAGATGTCAAGGACTACTTTTCCCCCCTTTAAGTTAAATATTGTATGAGCAGAAACGACGGCGAAACCTAGCTTTTCTCAGTATCCTCCTGGACTTCACTCCAGACAATGACTTTGACAGCCCATTCAGCATCACTACTAAACCCCAAAGAAGATACAGAATCTTAGGCTCTGGAAATTTTTTTGCTTTTATTTTAATTTTTTAAAAGTAGAAGGTATAAGTAAGAGGTTCAGTTCTGCCTATTAATTTCCTTAATTATCCGACCTAAGTCATGCTTCTTTCAGAGTTTCCTGGCTCATATAACAACATCAAGGAGAAAACCTGGTTTCTGATGTACTGTGGAGCAGTGCTGAGGTCCTCATTAATTCTAGAGCAGTGGTTCCCAACCTTTTTTTGGCCATGCCCCACTGAAGCATGTCTAAAATCCTGATGCCCCCTGTGACATATAATTCTTATTAGAACTCCTATTCACGTGGAGGAAGCCTAAAAGCCGATTAACTTGGTCTATACAAGCTTCCAAAGAACATGGCATCCATGAAAGAGAAAAATAAAAGAACGAAAGGACAGGTGTAGTACTGAGGAAGAAATCACTAAGGAATTGATTAAAAAAATAATAATATGAAATGATATGACAAAATAGCAAATAAAGTTCCAAACATATAATAAAGAACTGAAATGCCACAATATATGTCACAATATATATTTATATACTGTATATGAGGCCCCTAGAACCATAAGAAATGCAAAAAATTCATGTTAATAACTCATCCTTGAATTTCCCCCCTTAAAAATCAAATTGCTCCCCCTGTGGGGCATGTGCCCCATGTTGGGAACCACTGTTCTAGAGGTTCTTCTCATTGTCTTTTTGGATATCTACAGCTTCTGGTTACCCCAGAAAGATGGGCAGCCCTAGTCAGCTTTCTGGATGGACCCACAACATGGATCCCTTGCTTCTGTCAATGTTCTTAGATCCTGGGTATCTTTCCACCATGGTCTTTCTTCACTTTCCTCATAAAAAGAGCTAGGTGGGCACCTGGCTGAGTCATCCAAACTCCCAATGCAGCCCACACCTCCTGTTACCTCCACCTAGGACTTACTCATCTTTGCCTTTTCTCTGACACTGAGCACCTGGTCTTACACATGGTTAGACCTGATATATGTTGAGTTAATAGTTTTTTCTCCTGAAATACATCCTGCAAGAAATGTGTTAAGCACATCAACCCTCCATTTGCAATCAGAGAGAGAGTTTGGAGGGCTACAAATTGGGCATCATGAGCTTCTGAGCAAAGCAGTAAATCATGAGTCCACTTCTGGTTCATGGGAGGAACTATTCATTAAGTTGATGAGAAGACAACTTATATGCACTTACCCAAGTAAGGAACATGAGTAGCTCCAAAAAAGTATGTTCTTGAACAAGCAAGGGGTCCCTTTGGTGAGACGCACTGTACCACCTGGATGTCAGAAAAAAGTAAAAGTAAAAAAGGAGCAGGGATTTAGGTGTGTATGACTAGAGAAACAAAAAGTGTATTAGTTAATGGCAATCATTTTTATTTGATCAACAGCTGATTTATTTTTTTAAAGGCAAAGGGGAAAAGATCACCTTTAAACGTTGTTTTTCCAAGGTACCTTGTGTGAGTGTGTGTCTTTTTTTAACCTTAGCAATATTCTGAGGTGGCTATAGGGTACTCAGTCAGCCCGTGGTGCTAATGAATTCACAACTTAGAAGAAGAAGAAGAAAAAATGGCCAGACATGGCGTATCAGGTAGCAGGAACTGAGGTAAATAGGCTTTAATGTAAGGATTTATGTTGATCTGACAGGGAGTTGGGTTGTTGTGTTTAATGTTTTCTATAGCTGCAGTTGCCAGGGGCTTCAAGTTCCTCTAGTGTCATTGTATTTGTCTTCCCTGTTGTCTTTGGGTTTCCATAAGAACGCCTCCTTAGACAGTGTGCACCCTCCCTTTACAAAGCAGCAAGATCCTGAGAGCATGCCCATTCATGTGGCCTTGTCCCCTACTGGCTTGGAGACATATCTGGAGTCTCAGCCCAGAGGTAATTGGGTCTCATGTTCTCCAAATTCTAATTTAAAAATAATAGTGCCTACTTCCCAGCTTTCTTGATTGTCAGAAATATTCTGAAAATATTTAAAATTCCATTATAATAGCACAGATTTATAATCATTAGAGTCTCACATTTCAGTCTGCTTCCCTTAAAAGAACGTAGCTGACAATATACCATCAAAGGCAAATATCTCATCATTCAGATCTTCTCCCAAAGGTCACACTCTCCAGTTATGGTCATCATAGTACCATGCTCTTTTTCCTTTCATAGCACCAAGCAGTGTTTGTAATTATATATTTCTTTTTTAAAATATATTTTTTTATTGATTTCAGAGAGGAAGAGAGAGGGAGAGAGATAGAAACATCAGTGATGAGAGAGAATCACCGATTGGCTGCCTCTTGCACACCCTCTACTGGGGATCGAGCCCACAACCTGGGCATGTGCCCTTGACCAGAATCAAACCCTTCAGTCCGCAGGCCACGGCTCTATCCACTGAGTCAAACCAGCTAGGGCTGTAATTATATATTTCTTTGTGAGGTTGCTTGTCTAATGTCTTCTTTCTCCACCACACTATACATTCCATGAGGACAGAGACCATGTCTGTTTTATTTTTTAACCATGTATCTCTTATTATTCATATGTTCTCAATAAATATTGAATGACGAAAGGTTATTTTTAAAACATAGTTCTTCTATGGGCCAAATGTTTGTGTCCCCATAAATTCATATGTTAAAATTCTCACCCCCAAAGTGATGGTATTAGGAAGCAGGACGTAGGGGAGGTAATTAGCTCCTAAGAATGGATCCCTCATTAAAGGGATTATAGAAGAGGCTCTTATAAAAGAGGTTCCAGAGAGATTCCTAGCCTTTTCTACCATGTGAGGTTACAGATCAACAACAGCCATCTATGAGAAAGTGGGTCCTCACCAGACACTGAATCTGCCAGCACCATGATCAAAGACGTC